GTGACTTCCGCTGTCGTAACAGGTAGTTGGCAGAAAGAAAAAAGACGTTAAAACTTTATTGTGATAAATACATGTCAAACTTTAATTTATTTAATACCCTGAATGTGACATTAGGTGTCGTAAATTGAGGCTTTACTGATGGCTCAGCGGAAAGTCTGAGAGATTATAATACTAAAAATCGGTTTTCGATACCCACAATGGGAAGAGCACAGAAATTCCATTGTGTAGCTGCATGCTCAATAGCGAACAAACATAAATCCAGAATTAATAGTTTTGAGTTTACTTACTGATTATAAGTATTATTTTATTACAAGTTATAGCTTTTACAGTAAGGTTGTAGTTGTTTTTAGCGGAAATCTACATTCGGCTATCTCCTGTACCCATCGCTGGGAATCGAATGCTGGATTTTTGCGTTCTAAGTCCGTAAACTTACCGCTGACCCACCGAGGAACGTTTAAAGTAAGGAACAATATTTGTCAAATAGGTACGACGTTCCGTTCACTGGTACAATAATTACATCAATGATCGAAACGTTGTACCTGTTTTAGAATATTATTCTTTACTGTAAAAGCTGTATCTTGTAATAAAATAAAAAATCTTTCTGCATTCGTAGTTGATAACATTAAAAATTAAACTTTTATAGGTGTTCAGAGGTACAGACATTTATTCAAATAATAAAGCAAAATGCATTGTTCAGTAGATATCATGGCCTTCAAAATCTAACCTTAGTATTCGCGGAGTATTAATTTTCAAGTTTGTTTCGGATTTCGTGTTGCAGTTACAAGATTTCTATAAACATTTTTAAACTAAAAAGGTACGTATACTAATTTAATGGGGCGGTGAGCAGGAATGAAGCCTGTAAAGTCACGTGACCGACTAGCGGAAGTTATACATGTATTACGATATGGAAGTGAGTTTGCGCGTTCGATAGTTCTCTTATAATATATATACTCTCAACCTAACATGATTTTTATAGATTAAGTGTACTAGTGGCATTGACATTTACTCATATGTACATCCTGGTTCATAGATAGGGTGAAATGTCTCAAACTCTGTAGTATGAAAATCGAACATAGTAAATGTAGGCTAGGTTGAGAAACCACACTAAGTCAGTTGTACACACGCAAGTAAGAGCACGCAATGTGAATTACGTTTATTAATCATGTATACCAATTTTAAGCTCTAACCTATCATTGGGAATTGAAGCACTATGAAAAAAATATCAAGATGCCTTTAAAAACTGTTTTAAAAAACTTTCTTAATCATTTGGAGACGTTAGAGGCTCGACGAAAATTAGGTGATGACCTGTATGAAGTGGAATTTCAGGTATGGATGTTGGTACGAGCTGCGGTACATTCCGTAGGTCGAATTAAGATGTAACTTTCAAGTATTAAAAATTTATAGCTAAAATCACTGCCATTAACGCGCCCACTCTTGGTTATTTTCGTTATTTCATGCAATGTGGCACACCTTAGAATCTAAATTATCTTGTTCGGATTGTACTTTGTGTACGAACAATTTGCTATATAAATGTTTCGGTTAAATTTTAGAGTCTAAAGACATTTTAATCTCGAGCATCAAAATTTAGGCAAAATTAAAGAATATTGTGCCCATACTATAGAGTAAATTAATATAAACTTACTTCATTAATGATTGTAAGTTGTAACAATGCACGTTGACTATATATATTTGAATTTGAAATTGGCTGAAAAATTACATTATTAATAAAACTGATTGTTGAAGTATGCTGTAATTTTTCTCACAGATGTGAAATCGTTAGTATATTGGATTTGAAATGTAAACCAAGGAAACAGTGTACATGTATATATTTTGAACCAAAGTTTATTGTTAGTTAATATTAATACCATATATTTTACTACATCTTCCTTATTTTTTATACAATATTTTTGTGTGTATTAAAACTAGTAAAAAGATTATTATTTTTTACTAGTTTGTAATATATTTGTTAAGATGGTCATTGGCTGTGGTTTTAAGATATAAAACAATATAATTCTAGTCTTTCTGTGATTTGGTTAATTAAGGACAAGCTGTTAATATAAGGTGTTCTATCATTCGGTAAGGATAATATGAAGTCTGGTCCACATAACGGTAATGATTTGATTTACTTCTTCCCATAGGTTGGCTACAGCTTACATCCACTGATAGGCCTAACTTTAACAAATAAACTTTTCAATAAATTCTACAATGAATGTAATGCGTAAGTCACAAAAACCTTACTTGCAGGATTTCCTCACTAATCATTCAATAAATGTTGATTAACTCACTCTTTGATTTTCTAACTGACACTAAAGTGAATAACACATCAATTCACATGGAACACGCATCTCACCAATATTTATATTATACTCTTTTTCTTTTTTTTCTACCTAGTACAGGAAGCTTTTAGATTCTACAGAGGACTTTAATTAAATTTCTAGAACTTGTATCATGATGATGTCATAACATGCTCCCTCTAGCAAACAAGCATTTAAATTAAAACATTAAAGTTATAGCTTACTATACTATTTTACAAATAAGTAGGTTTCTGTTAACGTTAGTTAATGGTAAAAAATTGTGACACTCTAGAGGTGAGTTTTTTTTTTTTTAAGTT